CTGTGGCGCTGGACGATCCTCCTGGCCAGTTGGACCGTTTCTGCCTTCGGACAGCACAAGTATTTCAGGACCTGCAGGCTTTGGAGAGAGGGGTGTGTGATTCTTGTTGTAATTCGCGGATGGCAGTGTTGAAAGGCTTCTGCCGGTGCCCCTAGATTAGCCGAGGAGCTTGCTGCATGCTGCGGGGCCTAAGCTGTAAAATGCTTCACCCGATCGTTAAACCCGCATGGGGCCACGTTTTGCAGGCCTTGTGTTCGAGTCAGGGTGTGTTGCTTACGGGCTTTGAGCTGAGACCTCGTTCCTGCCAAATAAGGGCGAGATCCCTTCCGCATTGGACGATGCTCTCGACGCCGAGACGTGCGAGTCAGGCGCGGAGATTAAGATATTAAGGCTCTGCGGCCCTACGGCTTGTGGCTTGAAGATCTGCTTCGTACATTTGCAGCTTACGGTGCGCGCTGGTCCACTCTCTATCATAGCGAGTTTCCAAACCGGGCCTGACGACGGGTCTCCTCGGTGACTGGTGGGTGTGATTTTACGTCGTTACGATCTGTTTTGTTCGGTGCTGTGTTGTTCTGCGTCCGTCTCGTTAGGTAGCGTTGAGGCCTGGCCTTCGGGTTCGAGCGGCTTTGTGATTCGTGGGTGGCCCCGGGGGTGCAGGCCTTGTCCATGGAAGTCGTAATTTCACATTTCCCTTCTTTGATGTGACTTGATACGGTTGTTATGCGAATTCAATACGATTCCGCCGTGGCTTCAAACATGACCGTATCAGATCAGACTCCCATGATAATCACATTGACCTTCGAACGCTGAAATCCTGGAGCCTAAAGGCCTAGACCGCCCGAAGCACAGTCAGCTGTGTGACTGGCAATTAACACGCTGAAACCCTTAATATGGGATAAATTGCTTCGATCAGCCAAGCCCGAAAAGCATGCACCAAAATTGCTAAACACGCTGCCGTGCATAAACCTTGAAAGCCCTTGTAGGAGGCAACATGTTCACTCAAAGACATCCAAAGCCTGTGTGGCGCGTCTTCGCCCAGCATGGCCATGTGCCATGTATCGTCCTAGCTCTACGGCAGGTAAACACAATCCCAAGAATCCTCAAGTCAACTTAACCTGAACCCTGTACACCATACCACAATCCCAGATGGAATCCTTCGGTTTTTTCGCTAAGCCGCAGAAAAGGGTCATTCAACCATCCCCAATTCAAACCCTTGCTCCCGAAGCCCTCTCAACATAGCAGCCCTATAAACTGTAGGCAGGTGACCCCGAGGCCCTCAACCCTCGTAACGTAGCATCCAAAAACCTATGCTTCAGGTGACTCTGTTCTAAAGCCACTAAACAGAACATCCCTATGGACGTCACAAGCCCTACATTGTCAGGTGACTGCGACGTGTCTCTCCGGCAGCTTCGAGGGAGGCGGCTGGGTCTCGACCAGGCCCGGGGCTGCTTCGCTGCTTCGAGCGATTGAGACCTATCTAAGCGGCAGATATGTTATGTGTATAATTGTACAATTATGCATATGGCGGATACGTCATGCACGCGCATATACACGATGTGTGCGGGCGGGTGACAGAAAGAGTATGTATGCGATCAAGGGCGCAATGCATTCTTACAACGTTGTGTTATAATGCGCGGTGCGAGTAAGTACGACTGGAACGTGCAAGTGAATGCGTGTGTATGTATGTATGTGTATATATATATATATATATGTAGGCGTGTACGTGTTCATGTACATACTTACGTATGCACATGCTTGCCTATCTGTGGGCGGACAAGTGTATGCATTCTCGTGCATACGTATGTGCTTGGGTACGTGCGAGCAGTACAGGTACAGCAGGTTTCCCAGCCTGAGTTCAGCGTTGTTGCTGTTAATCCGCTCTGCTACAGGATAGCGAAGATGACACTGTGCAGGACGTGGAGGCGCTCACTTCTGCACACTTTGCCGAAGTGGTCATGTGTCAGTTAGGGCCTCACAAGGGAGGGACCTGCAAGACTCGGGAAGGCGAGGCTGGTCAGAACATGCCAGCGCCGTGCTGCTCAACTTCTCTGCTTTGCGCTGTGCTGCCCTGCTGTCCTTGTGGAAGGCTCCAACTTGCGCCAGCTTTGGATGTGGCCACTTTGTGAAGGAGCATCCCTGCCAGCCTCTTTTGCCTGGATTGGGAGGCTTCCGAAGGATGATGTGGTGAGGATTCCGAGAGAGGGCTTGGATTCTGGAGAAGAGGGCTACTGTACATGTGCTTTTGAAGGAAAAGCGGTGAAAGGAAGCATGTTAGCCACGAGCCTCGCACGACTCCGGGGTGATCCCCATGCAGAGTTCATCAAGGCATCCCTTGTGACGCCGAGGTGCACTCCGCAGTGCAGCCGCTTTGGCAACTGCTGCCAGCTGCTCAGAGCTTCGCACTGCATGCACTGGGCTGTGAAAGGTTCGGGCGGTCAGGGCAGGGCTCAGCTGAGAAGAGGAAGAAATCCCAAGAAGAAGCTGGAGCGGCGGCGCCACCGCCGCCATCTCTTTCATGATTGCGATCTATGGAAACCACTCTTCCGTGCGAGACGGCGTTCGAATCGCTAAGAAGGACAACGGAAGAGTCCTTCCCGTAAGTGAGAAACGAAAGCAGCGTCATAATCCTTCCACACCCTTTTCGGGAATCTTGGCTCTTTTCGGGCTCGGGAGTCTTGGGCTGCCAGCCTGCGCTTCTCCCCTCCCGTGTTTCGGGAATCTTGGCTCTTTTCGGTGCTGCGGGCTGCCAGCCTTTGCAGAAGAGAAGCCAGCAGCTAGAACCTGCCAGGCCAGTGTGGTCCAGGTGTGCATTTCTGCCGGCCGCTAGCAGTTGAATACCGCCGGAACAAGAAGACAATGGTGGAAGCATGCGGTAGAGCTCTGTCCTGTCCTGCCTGTAAGAGTTAAGCCAACGCCAGCTGCAAGCTTCGATGACGAACGCAGCAACATCGGCAAAAGCATTGAACGCCAGCATAACACCGTGCAATGTTTCTATCCTGGCTCGCCCATCCACCGCCCAGCGGCGTGAAATTTGGGCTTTAAAAGCAGTGATCCGAATGCTGTCCCTGTGGCCTGCTTGCAAATCTCATCGAAAGCATGACTTCCCCGACATCGGACTGCTACACGTTTCTCTCTATGATGCTAGAATCACCTGTATTCGACGAGTTCCCCCACTCAGGCAGCGACTATAAGGCCACATGCCTCGCACGCTCAGCGAAGGCAGCCAGCCCTTCAGTTTGGAGGATGTTCTTGATGTACTTGCAAGTAGAGCCCGATGTAGATTCTAAGGAAGCAGAAGAGTCAAGGAGTAGAGCGCAGGATGTAGGACCCAGAGTCACGCACGGAGCGGGCAGTCGGGCGCCTGAGGTTGCAGCGGTAGGTTCTTTGAGTTGTCGGTGGGTGGTCGGTTCGGAGTATCCTCGTTGTTCATATTGGCTTGTGTCAGTGGCAACTAGAGCAATGCTGCCGGAAGCCTCATCTCATGCCATGAACTGCTGGAAGCCTCATGTCATGCAGCATGTGACAGTCCATACCTGCTGAGATTTGGATGAGTCCGCCGAGATGCCCAACAGATAAACTATTTCAAGCCCGAAGTCCAGCCTACTGAGCGTCTAATGAGTCTAATGCCAAGGGTCCTACAGCAGCGCAGATAGCTACTGTAACGGAGACCGAAAACACGGGGACAGGTGCTGACAAAGCCGACCTGCGCAGCCTTCGGCTGTGGGACCAAGTACATCCACCACCATCCCTGCCAGCTGCCCTGTCGCAAGACGGGGATCTTTCAAAGGGTCTTTGGGGCTTCGGGGTTTTGGAAGGTTTGCCGCCGGTTTGCCGGTGCCTTGTGTCGACCCTTTGCTCGTGGACCTTGCGCTTTTCGAGGTTAGAGTCTGAGCCTCACGGGAGTCTCATGGGTCTAACGAGTCTATCGCCAGCAGTGCTGAAGCTTTGCTCTTCCATACCATCATACCGCTCGTTTGCAAAGCCCTGAAGCCCAAAACAGAGAACGATCCCCCCGATGAAACCTATGTGCAGGGGTGACTATGGGCAGGTGCACGCCGGAATGCGAGAAGTTCGGCAACTGCTGTCTCAGGCTCAGGCTGTGCAGCGCAAGCGCTAGCATGTTCAAGCACATACAGGCGATATGCGAACATCGTCTTGCAAAGAGGGTCTTTAAAAAATCCCGCTTCTTGGCTGTAGGGGCTGGGTTCGCTGAAATCGACGTCACAGCTTGTTGCGCTCCCAGGTGCCGACTTCAAAGCTACCTGCGTTCTTCACAAGGCACCGCATGCAGGGGGATCCTGCACTTCTGAAACCCACAAATCTAGCGGTAACCCATTGCAAGAGACGGCCAAGCCTTACAGATCCGAAAGCTTGCGACGCCTGGGCTTTTCTCTGAGCTTTCAAAGCCGAAACTCCACCGAAGCTCTGAGTGTGCCAATGGGTTTCTATCAGTTTCTGTGAACTTCTGTGTCTCTAGTTACTCCTCGTTGTATTTCCGGCAAGTAACCTTCTCTTCGGCTTCCGTGATGGAATCATAGTACTCACCAAGGCATCTGCCTACTCATATAAAGTGACTCGGCACCTTACACCCCAAGCACCTTCTACTTTTCACGGTGAGTCTGTCCTTGACCGAGGACGCGAAAGAGCCAGCGACGGCCACCGTGACCAAGTGCCGGCCTCGTCAGGACTCTCAAGGAACTTATAAGGGCCTACTCTTAACTCAACAGGCCAGGCCTAAACTCTCCTTCTCTTTCGACATACATCGTAATATTAGTATCTGTCTGTCTGTACATACATTTACATATTCCTTCGTTTGTTTAATTACTTATACACTTACAGACACACACACACACATAACATGTCTGTCTGTATATATGTATATATATAGGCACACGTATATAGTTGTTCTGTAGTTGTCGTCCGCTTGTGTACCGGGGATCCACGCGATAAGCTTCCTTTGATGTTTGCCAAGTTCAAGTCTTTTTTCACTGGGCTTGGCTATGCCCTTCCGGCTTCCGGGGCCTCGAACTCGAGGATATGTGGGGCATCCGAGGGTTTGAAGACAAGACCCTCGTGGGAGTTACAGAGTAGGACTGGGATATGTCAATGTGCGCTGGTATCTCTCCGATTGTCTACTGGATGATTGACAGTTCGGGGCTAAGGGGGTTACTTTGTGGGTTCAGGGTTTGTCGGGCTGCTGTAGGATTTCTTTGACGACTTTGCGCAGTGAGGGGGGGGGGGGGCTTTGCTGGGTATGGGTCTTTGAATGCTGGACCTGCACCCTAAACCCTAAACCCTAGCCCTGCGCGAAACCGTTGCGGTGCTTTCGCCCAGGCCCGCGGCTGCAAACGCCACAGCGACGGACGCGCCCAAGGACGCGCCTCCGCCGAAAGAGGCGGGGGTTTCCGAAAATAGGGGGTACCTTATTTTGGGGTCCTTATAATTGGGATCCTACTATTTGGGGTACTATATTAGTAATATAGTACCCCAAATAGTAGGATCCCTATTAGGGTCCCCTATTTTTGGGGAACCCCCAGGTGGAGGCGGCCGCGAAGGAGCCGGAGGCGCCTCCGGCCACGGCGGCGGCCGAAGGCGAAGGCGAAGGCCAGAGACACGCGAGCCGTGACGACGAGCATGCACATCATAGAATCATATAGCAACGCTTGTATATATATATATATATATGTATATATATATATAACAAATATACAAATATGTACACAGTATCGCATACATGCACATACAGATACGGATAGTTCTGTATCTACATATTATGCATATACATACGTACACATGTATCTAATGATGCATATTTGCGGGTGGTGCGTGCCGTTTTCGATCATCAGGGCTATTCCGGATATCAGGAAAGGGAGAAAGTTGGGAAGTTGCGGCCCCGTGCAAGGCCACAAGAACTGGGCAAACACTGTGGACGGAATTGTCCGAACGACGAAGGAGGCTTGGATCAGCGGCAGCGGCAAAATCGTCCCTTGCCTTGAGCCTGGATCGCTGCTTGTTAAGTTTGCTTATGTCGCTGCGCTGTACCAAGTCTCGGGCACTCGGGCGCGTGTTGGTGTCACAGACAGGATGAGAAGGATTAGAGTTAGGGGCTGGGGGGTTCGGTTCGGGTTCCGATTCTTGCTGGAGCAAAGGACAAGACCATGACGTGCGAGACCGCGCAGCGTGGCGATGAGTGCTGGACTGCTGTGACCTGGGCACCCTGCCCGCCGCTGTGGAGGGGTTTGGGATCGGGAGCATTCCGACTAGAAGTTGCCAGGGCCCCGACTTAATGTCTTCGGTTCTTGGGCGGTTTTGGTTCCCGGTACTGGTATTCGGATAAGTGGAAGATATGGGCCAAAGATCTCAACAGCAAAGCTACGACTTCTTGAAAGGGAGGAGATACTAGTTCCGTATCATGCCCGGACAGTCCGACGGACCTCGTTCCCTGTGAGAGTCGAAGCGCTTCGGCGTGCAGGCTCTATTGGGCAATTATCCTCCGATCTCCTCTTGGTGTCTAGGAGAGTCTAGGTGTTTCGGGTGAGGTCTGCTATGCTTTGCACAGGGAGTACCACAAGTCTTCTTGTCTGGCCAGATCCACGCCAAATCCTGCGACCTCCCTCGCTTGTAGGAAGGAAGCCGTCTGCCCCGAAGACTTGAAGGTGAAGGTATTCCGTCGGTCTGATCACAAGTCCTTGTGCCAAGAAGCGTGGCACCTGAGTGATTCCTGGACGTCCTTGTTCTTAAGTCTCAAGTGCTTTCGGATTGCCTTCGGCGATGCCGTGGGGTCGGTTTGGCGTTTTTGGCTTCAGCCGTGTATCCGAGGCCATGAACGACGGGGTCTACGCACCTTGGCCGAGTTTCGCCCCTGGCCCTGGCCCCCTCAATGTGGGGTGGATGCCCGAAGTCGCCAGAATTCCATAAAAAGTCAGCTCCTAGGACCCGCGCGAATCATGGGGCGCCTCGCATCTCTTGGGTGCGGGGGCCGGAGCGGTGCTTAAGCCCTTTGAGGGTATCTTGCGGCATAAAATAAGCCCCCCCAAGAAAAAGCGGGGGCGCAAGAAAGAGCTCCCAAAAAGGAGCATCCCGAGTGGTGGCCTGAGCTTCAACCGGGAGCTTCCAGCTTCGAGGAATTCCAGGGCCACCAGCCGCTCGGCTTTCGCTTTCAGGGCCTCAGGCTGCCCAGGCCGAGCCCTTCTCTGTTTTGGCTGTTGCCTTTGCAGAGAATTATCCACGGAAGCCACGGACCCGATATAGATATATATATATATATATGTATACACTCCCGATCTGGGCCCGAAAGCAATCCTGTGCTGCGAGCCCCGTCTTCCTGTTCTGTAGCTTTGCTTACGTCTCGTGGTTGGGCTCCCAGCGTTTCAGCGTGCTGCTGCGCTTCAGCTTGTGCTGACGTCCAAGGCATCTCATGAACGCGACGCTGTGTCCACAGCCATGCATGCTCAGGCTCGCATTGGTCTGTTTTGGAGTCTCGCCCTCCCGCTCTCGCGCTCTCTCTCTCTCTCTCGTTTGTGGCTCTTCCTCGCCTTCCCTTTAGGAGGAAACTTTTCGAATTCAACATAAGGTGTAGGTGCTACGACTCTCTTAGTTGTTGATCGTGTCGCAGGAACAGATGCAGGGCTGTTTCCTGTGCATCTTGTCAACGACAACTCTTCGTCAGAGCACCTTCTGACAGGTGAACCGCAGGAACTGCAGCAGCACCATACTGAACTGCATTCTGGGTGCTGGTGCTTCTGCTTGCGTGCTTCTTTGAGACGTGCTCCGTTGTAAGTAACAATTAAGATGCAAAGCCGACAAGACTTTCAAGCATCTCCAAGACATGATCAGATCGCTTGCCACCGAAGTCCTTTCTCGGTGTGAAATGATCCGCCCTTGTAAGAAGAGCTGCCTCGACCTGCGAATCGTCAACCCTAGAAAAGCCCATGGGGCCCTAAGCCCTAAGCCCTAAACCCTACTAAACCCTAAACTCTAAACCCTAAACCCTAAACCCTAAAGCCCTCTGACATGCGAGAGGGAAAAGCCCAAGAAGCAAAGACGATCCATTCCCTCTCAGAGCCCTCGGCTCTTCCGGGAGTCTCGGTAGGTACGATGTGTACTCGGAGCCGACCTACCGATCCTCCCGCGAGTACGCCATGAAGGGCGTCTCCTACGGCGCGCCGACTCCTGAGCCCACCGAAGCCTCGCAGTTCTTGCAGGTGGAGTGCGTTCGCCTGTAGTTACTCTGAGTGTGCTTATATATATATATATATACATATATATACATATATATACATATATATATACATATATATATATATACACCCAAAAAAAGCATCCGATTCTATTCTGGTCTCTCCAAGCCCTGCTCTAAGTCTTCGGTGCTCAGCCGCTCAGGTCGCCTCTGAAGTCCACGAAAGTTTTGCTCACGGACGACGACTTCATGACGGCCAGCCTCTCAGGTGTCGAAACTCTGTGCCGGAGTCAAGTTTGAACGCTGTAGCGTCGCGTCGGGTTGAATTGGGGCATTGGGTCGTTAGGGTGTCGTAGATGCTTGAAGATTGCATGTCTCGTTGGGCCCTCGGCCACGAGCCCCAGGCCCATTCTCAGAAGCTTTCAGGAAGGTTGGGACATGTTGGGATGTAGTGCCATGCGGCTGTGCTGGGCACGCTATGCGCGCACTCAGGACATCACTGGAGCGATGTGGGACAGCTGGGGGCGTGGGGATCTGGACGTCCTGGCGTCCATGGGGGTGAACACGCTTCCTGGCACGAAGTGGCAAAGATGTCCTCGAATTCTACGGCAGGGTGTCGGAAACGTCTGCACGTTCTTGCCATGAAAAGTTGCTTTGTTTCACAAATCCGAATCCATTAAGTTCCTGGTACTGGAAGCTGCTAGAGAACAGCCCTCGCCGGGGCTTTGTCGCTGTCATCCTCAGGCTCCGGATGTACGGAAACGACTTGCTCCTTGGCTGCGCAGCTCGCATCCCCAACAAATTGGTCTTTCGGTCCGCCAAGTCCATAGGACAGCTAGGAGCCCGAAGGCATCCCAAACTTATGCATTCACCGGTTCGCCCGCGATTCGCGCCTTAGCCCTAGTTGCTGCACTGGCATCGTGTGGAGTTCTCACTGCATGCCGCATTCCAGCACGCACGAATGTCTGCGAGCTCTTCCGAACGCTGCGCGGTGATTTGCGTCAACTCCTAAAACCCCAGACCCCAGCTCCACGTGAAGTGCTGCGCGTTAGGAAAAGGATCCCTGCAAGACGCCTTCACAGGAAGAAGCGCTAATCATTGTACCTTTAATGTCTTCCAGCTATTCCAAATCTCCACTTTTTGCATGAAGCGCTCTTCCTTGCATCTGTTTCATTAGTGGCTGGGGCACAACGCCGGTAGGATCCGTCAAAACTGAGGAACTACAGTCACCGGTCCTTCCTGGATGGGGCCTGGAAGAGGGACATCGACGTCATCGTCGGGCTGAGCGATTGGGGCGTCCTGGAATGAAAGGTGACCAAAGAGGGTCAACGACTACTCACTACTCACCGTGCTCGTACTCAGCGTAGCAGTTCTGCATTTCATGTTCAGTTTGGAATGCAGGGACATGAGTTCAATCACAACACCCCTACTACCACAGCTGCGAATGGCAAAGACGACGACCTGTTTCCTGGAGCTTCGGCTCCACGTCCCGAGGCTTCATTCAGGGCCCCGATCCCTGCGACAAGCCGTGGCCCCAGAGCAGCGTAGCCCGTAGGCCAGAATTTCTGGGTGACATGGTTCTCTGCGGGGTGTGGGCAGAGTGAGGGGACGGACGCCCGGAAAGGCTTGTGAAGCCAGTGCGGGCTCTTTCTGGCAGCTTGACACAGCCTTCAAGGCCCCATTACGGCAGCTCAGCCACACTGCCTGAAAAGCATTTCTATGTGACAGCAGGGATTGGGGTCCGCATGCTGAGCCTCGACGCCAGCATCATCCTCTCTCTCCATATCTATGCTCTGTATTTAATCTATCAGTGTTTTTCATACTTGTCCATGTTTGTGTCTTTATTGTCATTACGTCACAGTATGCGGTGTCAACGGCAAGCCCGACCGCTTTGCTCGCTACACTTGTGGCTCGAAAGTCTTCCTTGGTTTTTGGGGCCACTTTCTGTGCGGGTCCAATGCAAACAGTGTCAATTACGAGAGACCTTGTGTCTTCATTCAGCCCTTAAGCAAAGATGTCAGCCAACCCATGTTCCCAGGCCAGAATCGGCATCCGTATGCAGTCCCAGTCTCAAAGCCAGATCAACTCTGATCCCGGGGTGTTGCCACACGCCTTGTATTCGTAGAAGCCATGATTCGCTACACGAAGGGTGCGTTCCAGACGCTCCTGTATTGGTGGGGTGGCATCAACAGGCATCTGATCTTGAATTCAGTGCTCTACCTGCTTTTCTTGGTCGGCCTCTTCTGGGCCCAGTCCAAGTGGCCGATATTCCGGGTCGAGTCTTCCACGAGTGGCCTGTCGATGCTGGGAAGCTTGACCGTGTTCCTGCTGGTCTTCCGCATGAACCAGTCCATGGCCCGGAACAACGAGGCCACCGAGAGGACGGACGAGATGTTCGGCGAGCTGGATTTCTTGATCCATTCAGTCTGCAGCTTCATGCAGGGTGCCAAGGAAGACCTCCTGTACCTATGGCTCCAGCTAAGCTTTGCCCACGTAAGATTTGAGACCACCAGGAACGCCTGGACTTACGCCATGATCCCACCTAGCAGATTCTAGAATCGGGCATTTTTCTGTTTTCGCATCGGCACACAGCACTGAACCGAATCCTGGACGGCTCTGCTTGAATCGAGGCATGATCTGATCCTGAACCCCCATCGGGTGCATTCGGAGGAGGAGATCCGGATCATGAAGCGCCTCGAATGCTCTCGTTTAGGGTTTGGGGTTGCGGGATTTAGGATCTCCAAGCTAACTAGAAGCACATCTACTCAGGTTGCATGGAGAGCTGGCAAGTATGGTGCGAATCCACGTCGTGCGGCTAACCATTGCCTTCGGCGTCAGTTGCCTGCTCTACTTTCGCATCCTTACGGCCCTTGCAGCGTGGACGAAAAAATAAACGCAACACAACACCATACATGTTGGTAACTTAGTGAAACATTTTCCGCACCGTTAAGAGCAAACATTTGTGGTTCTACCTCTCTCACACTACGACGAATGATACACTTCAGGTATACCCACATTCAGAAACACTGTCACATCCATACCTGCGCACACACACACACATGTACACCGATCTATTATCTAAATACTTAGTTACACACACATATATATATAACAACATATATATATATATATATATATGTTTATAGTTCGTGGTACAACTGCTGTGTCCAGCCACTGTCGTCGCACTGCATGGTTCACGTATCCAATCGGATATACACATACACAACTTGAAACGCCTACCTCAACTCAGCTTGGAGGGCGTCCGGGATGATTGGGCACAGCATGTGTGACATCCTTGTAGTTTGGTAGTTTCGGTTCTCGCATTTCATTTTAGATAAGCGTGCATGGCGAAATCGCTGTTCTGCGTCGCGGCTGACAGGCAACTGAGTCCGAGAGAGAGAGAGAGAGAGATGTTTATAGTTGTGTTTGTTTATGCAGTTGATACACTGGCAGATGTCCCCCCCCACAGCAGGCCAGAGAGCTCGAATCACATTCGCCGCAAGTGCTTCTAGCAGCAGTGCCCAAGTCCAGGACGGCCGAGGCCATAGAATCAGGATGTTACATGTAGGTCCAAAGATTGTCGGGGCCGCCAATACTGTAGGGGCCTAAATACATGTTACCAATACTAAATTTTTTGGGGGGTTCCTTATTTTCTGTTACTATAGTATAATGGGCCCCAAAACCCTATTCTAAGTCTTAAGGCCCCTATAAGGAAACTCCTGTTGAACCCAGTACGGTTTCGGGGTTCGAAGCTTCTCTTGGCTCGGGTTCGTGGTTTCCGCGCGGAGCGCTCTCTCTCTCTCTCTTTCTTTCTTTCTTTCTTTCTTTCTTTCTTTCTTTCTTTCTTTCTTTCTCTCTCTCCCTCTCTCTCTCTCTGAGGGGTATACTTGCCGGTTTCAGAGTTGAAGAAAGGGGCCCTCGGGTAGCGGTCCATACTGGGAAATCACAGCTGCTCATGCGGATGTCTTTGTCGACCCAGTGCTGTCGGACAGCTTTGGAGTTTAAGTTCGCGGTTCAACTTGAGGATTCAGGGATTCTGGGTTTCACGGCGGTCCTTCATACCCCATACCCCCAACAACAACAACACCAGCCAAATTGGCACTTTGATTAATTGTGTTGGGACTTGGATGTTGGACGCCGTTGTACACGCTAAGGCCCTGCCGTTTCGTCCAGAAATTAACAGAGCCAGTAAACCTCGTAACCCCCCACACCACCCACAAACCCTAACATGACAAGTCTAGATCGCGCATTCCATTCAGCTTGACATCCCTCCATGCCCCCAGGTAAGTATGCTTATATCACGAAAGCTGCGGGAGTTGTCGTTTACCAACTCACCTCAGCAGCAGTGAGGTCAAACTAGTGTTAAGGTGCTTTTTTGTAGTGGCTTGACAAGCCTGAAACTCCGGTGGAGGGAGGCGGGGAGAGCCCCCCCAATCTCCTGCTGCTTCAGAAGCAGCGTGGCAATTGCAGGAAATAACGGCACTGCGGTTGTTTTGTTTGTTGATTGACGTCGCTCCGGAATTGCCAGTGCGATTGTGCAGTTTGTCCATTGAGATTGCTTGACTCCTGCTCGTTTTGTCTACTTAAGCAGGTGTAGTGCGTCGACCCGGCAGGATTCTTTCAAGCACCGTGGCAAGTGCATCTGTTCTCTACGCGTGCTTAGGGTGTAGACCTGGCAGATTTAAGCACCACCGGACTTGCATCTGTTTTTTTTCGTGGCTGCGTGTGGACTTGGAGAGTTTGAACAAGGGGAGCACCGTTTGCAGGTTTCCAGCACCCTGCCGAGGTAGCGCGCAATAAAGCAAGAGCTCCATCAAATCTATCAAGTTTGTTTGCCCTAGCCTTCGTGGCCCTTTTTTTTTATCGTAATACACCCCCCCCAAACCCGGCTCTAACGAAAGAAGCCTCGACCCAGTCAAGGCAGATGCCCAGGGCGTCCTTGAAGAGGAGGATCTCGTGCAGATCGTTTTTCTGCACAGCCGTTTGCAGGCGCTGCTTTACGAAGAGGACTTCCGGGGCTTTCGAAAGCGAGGGTTTGGGCTTAGGGTTTATAGGGTTCAGGGTTTAGGGGCTAGGGTTTTTGGGGTTTTGGGGTTTTGGGGGTTTTGGTTTTGCAGTTTAAGGTAGAGGAGCTGATTGGCCCCCAACCCCAACCCCCAAGGAGATGGAGCTGGTGGACCAGCATCTGGCTCGGTTGAAAGGGGTTAATGAAATAGCATGGGTTTACGGTTCAATCAACACAAAATCAGTACTCTAAGAGCTGTAGACATTTTAGGAGTATTCCATCATGTGATTGCTAATAAGGAGAAAATAGCAAAGAAGTTAATGACACCTTTCAGTAGCAGAAAATTATACCAAGCCTACTGGTACTAGCAAATAGTAACACTGGTGCTAATCAGTAGAAGCGGAAGCAATAAGAACTTTCAACATCATGATGATAATGATAAGATAGACGTAAGTTATGAGTAAAGTTCTGTAGAGCCCAGGTACATGGGCATCTCCCGTGAGACGGATGGCGGAGCTGGTTCGGAGGCCTTTTTTTGCAGCGTGATGCGAGAAGCGCAGCTGTTGCCTGGGGTCTAGGGTCGAGGCTTGAAGTGTTGGGAATTGGGGTTATGGACTGTTAGGGTTTGGGGTTCGAGACTTCGTTGCAAAGGCGGTTTGGGATCAGGTTGGTAACTTTTGGGTTCGAGGATTTAACTTTCGAGTTTTCGGGTTTCCATGAGCGTGGTGATCAATATCCGCTGACATGTCCCTTGGGCTTAACTCCCGGCTAATTGGATAGAGCTCCGGGTTCAACTTACGTTCCATGATTTCCATGCCCAATCGCTCACCTTTGCCAGAAGTTTGTGTCGGAGGCAGAGTACCGGGCGGAGACGGGCCGCTTCCGCATTGCTGCGCAGTGTTCCGGCCTGCTCATGCGCCCGCGGAAGGCGCGTGCGCCGTTCATGCTGCGTGGGAGGGCGGGGGGCGGGGGGGGGGGAGCAAAGGAATTCAAAACGGAACTTCTGAAGCCCCCAGTGCTTTGAACTCGTATAAGGCCTGGTTTCCAAGTCGTGGGTTTTCCAGAGTTGCTGCATGGCCAAGAGCACTCAAAGGGCTTGGAGGTGCAGGGCATGGAGGTTCTGTTGCGAGTTCGGACACGAGTCACGAGTCAGGGCATTCCTGTCTTTGTCGGGACGCAAAAGGCATTTCTCAGGGACAAGGTGTCTGGGATCTTGCAGGGTTTCAGCTTGCCAACCCCCTCAAGATGGGTTTCTTCCTCGCATGGCTTCAAGCCCGTATACACCGTCCGGACAAGAAATACAGCTGAAATCATAAAACAGAACCTGCATACAGCAGCTGCTGTTTGCCTTGGTGGTTGGGGAAGGGATGCTGGGCTGCTCTCTCTCTCTCTCTCTGTCCGGTCTCTCTTTTCGGGTCATAGATTCGCAGCCCCCAGCGCCGGCTTCAACCGAGCAGTTGCAGGGAAAAAGACAAGCTGTGTGTCAGCTCAGCCCGAGGCCGGGAACAACCAGGAGGAGG